CAAATTTTGTCATAAATTAAGTCTGTGAAGCCATTAAATTTATTACACGTTTTTTAAGATTTCATTATTTTTAACTTTTGCTTTTGAAGTACAGTTAAAAAGTCAATCGCAATGTTCTCTAAATGTTAATTAATTCACAGCGTTGTTCTTTTTTATATTTTCCTAACTTTCGCAGTATATTACGAAAATAAAAAGCTGTGAATGCCTAGTTTATTTTACGAATGAAATAAATTTTAAATTTTAGAAATTAATGTTATGTAAAGTGCGGAAAAAAAACGAATCACTCTCTATAACTTTTGATCTAATGATCAGATTTCTGCGTTCTTGGACTCAATCTTAATAGCTTGAGGGGGTGACCTCAAATATGCTAATTAATAAGTGCAGACGATATTTTAAGTTTCGAAATCAGACACAAAGATATACTTTCTTTGAATAAACATACTTTTTTTCCCTACAAATTCGAATTTCTGACTTTGCGTGCTATATACAGTGCGCTAATCATGCTCTATAGTGTAATTTAAGCAACTATTGAGTGCACTTATGCAATTTAAACAGCTATTGTATGTACTAATCGCTATATTTTAACAATTGTTGTTTACTAACCATGTTATTTAAGTAACGATTTTCTGTAATCGTCATGTAATATAAACAACCATAGTGTAGTTGTATATAGTACTAATCGTGTTATTGAACTATTGTTCTGTGTACTAATCTTGCTGTTTAAACAACTAATGTGGTTACTTATCTCGCAATTTAAAAACTACTGTGCTTACTAATCGTGTAATTTAAACAACGATTGCGTGTACTATTAGTGTAATTTAAAGAACTATTGCGTGCACTAATGGTGTAAATTAAACAACTATTTCGTTTAATAATCATGTTATTTTAGCAACGATTTTGTGCAATAATGGTGTAATTGAAACACTGTGCGTAATGGTCGTGAATTTCATGATGCTTTGTTGAAAAATTAATGATTGAATTAACAATAATTATTAAAGAAACAACCATTACAAAACTAAAATCTTCATTTGCGAAATTTTTTTTTACATATCCAAACTAATTTCAACCTTAATATAATGTACTCAGCATTTCTGTCCTGAAATTTATATTTAATTAATTATAAACACATCACAGAAAATAATTTTACGCATTTATGAATAAATTATTATATCGAATAAGGAAATCTAAGCATAACAATAATTAAAACTAATAATACGTTGCAAATATTTCACTTAAATCTCCTTACCATGAAATAAACTGACTTCTACCTGAAATATTAAGTATGAGAAAGCGTTGGAAACCTCTTGGGAAAATCTGAGAAGAATAGTAAACATTCTTAGTAGCAAAACACATTAAGGAATTGGCAGAAATTTTCTTCCATTGGAAATTTTGCGTGTGAGGTTCAAAAAAATAAGAAATTATGAATTCGTGAAACAATCTACTCTGTTCTAAAGGGGTGGAGCAGATATATATTTTTTTCTATCCACAACTCTAATCTAAAAATACTTAGAAGCACGCGATTTGGATGAGAAAAATATATTGAAAAGCAACGTAGTTTTCGCCCCATCTAGTTGACTAGAAGGTTACTAAATATTTACTACCGAAAAGTCAATACAATTTAGTTACCTTTTTTGAGCAGTAACCTTTGATTGACTAGCTATGGTATTGTTGAAGGATAGTCAAGTCCTTCGCTTACTGGTAGCTGATGAGGGAGGGGGAGAGTTATTATATCGTTTTCTTTTATTTTTTTCAGTAGGGGTTATTACGTCAGAATGTTTGCCATTGCAGATTGTGCGAATATTGATCTTTGGGGTAAAACTGTTTCAGAGAAAAGCCAATTTGAATTTTACTACTAACTTAAATAAGATTAACTTGTATTTTTAGAAAATAATTCTAAAAAGTCTCTTGAAATAACATTACTGAAATTCAGTAGAAATTATATCCTGAAAACAATACAGAAATAGTGTGCTTCATTGTATTCTATCTTTAACTCAAAGTATATCCTATGTTCATTTTGATAAAGACTTTGGTTTTAAAAACAACTACATCAATTTTAAGGAAAAAGCATTTGGATTTGGGCTAATGTTATGAAAAATATTAAACAAAACAAGTTCACTAGTATTTCTGGAATCTAATCATAGCTGGTACTCAAAATTCACTAAATTTACAGACCACTAGAATTATTGAACAGATTTTAATGAAATTTGAATAATACTGGAAAATTTTATGAGCTATCAATATTTAAGCATATGCAGATACAAAACAGGAAAAAAATTCACTGTCAAACGATATCCGTATAGCAATAGTTTAATGAATTATCAACATTTAAACACATGCTGATTCATTAATAATAATTATAATTAAACAGTCATAAGACAGACGCAAATAGACCCTTTTAAATTAGACCCTTTTCTGGGTCTATTTTAACAATGATAGGTACTCCAGATAATTTTCAATTCAGTTTAACGACATGGAAAACGCCTGAGCTGGTACTGAAATTTCCCACCACATGAACGAGAGTGCTTTCAGTTGTATGTATTTAAAATTAAGCAGAAACTATGTTTGCAATCGCACAAAACAAATTCAAACAAGATTAAGTTACAAAACTGAACAATTGTTTTTATAAGAAATCAAGATTCAAAGCAAGATTTCTTTTCGCGAAATGCTGCAGTATCAAGAATATTTTCGAATATATTAATCAGCAATGGGAACCGGAAATTCCAAATGCAACAAAGACACAATAGCAAAATTTATTTCGAAACGGAAAATAAACAAACAATGTAAACATAACATGTGTACGAACTTATTTTTAGTTTAAAATTTGTTTCGAATGTTTTATGCAGTGATATATAGGCTTTTTATTTCCATTCGTGATTTTTTTTTTCTTACATTAATGGCGAATTCTTTTCTTCGACAAAAGAAAGCTCATATCCACGGTTCCAATATATTTACTTTTTTCATTGAACAAGAATTTATATTTATGAGCCCTTCACGAAGAGAAAGATTCCATACACTCAAAATTTGGATCGAAATCACATCACCACTGTGGTCGTTCTAAGTTTTAGTGCTTTGAGAAAATAGAATCGAAGACCATTTTCTAAATCTCAGACGAGGCTTTGTTTATCACTTTTTAAATTCTTGACGACAAGGCTCAACGCAAAAATATTCTTAAGCAATAGAGAGAACAATTACAAATGGATGAGTGATGTTAAAAAGATAAAGAACCATGGAACTGTCACAAAAATGTTTTTCTTTAGCTAAAAATAAATAACAGTGCTGAAGCAAAATATCTTTTAGCCATTAAAAGTGAAAATAGATGATTTCTAAAACGCAAAATACACTCTCAGAAATAAGACTCACTTCGGACGATTCAGCAATCATTGAGCTGTATTTCGTTCGATTTTAGAATCATTTCGACACGGAATCACGTTATTTCCGACACAAAACAAACTCAAATATAAGACAAAATTGTTTCCTCAAATCGGAACTTCATCGCAGTGCATTCTGGGAGCTTGTTCTACTGTGTTATTTCTTGCTTCCTTCGCTTTTGTTACTTTGTCAACCAACCGTATGGTGGTCAGGGCACTTCCTCATGTCAGATAGGTCTATTTCGAATCCTGGTCAGGGGCATGGATATTCTTTTATTCTCCGCTTTTCTTACTATAGGAGCGACGTGAATTCTGATAATTGAGCGCTCCTGAAAAATCAGACTATACATCTGCTCTTCTGATAACCGAATCACTAATGTCTATATACGAAAGGACCTTGGAAAATTTTTTTTTTGTTTTTGACAAAATTAGTTTCTTCGAAAAGTAGACGATAGATATTTCGTTATTCTATTCCACTCGAAGCACATACAAGGAAACGGTTTCGTGAAAAGCAAATAAAGTTTCGCAAAATTTAATTATGTATTCTTAACAGTGTAGGCATGATTTTACAATGTAAAAAAAGATTCCATGGCGGCACTTGTTCACCTTAAAAAAGCAAACACTTTATATACAGTCTGCCTGGGGAAATAATTCCCCTTTGCCATTCACCTGAAGCAGTGGCGGTGACTATGGTTACGAGGTTTTATTTTATTATTATAACTGTCATTGAACAGCCAACCTAATTCTGAGTTTACGACTACCAATATTCAACTCCGTAGCCTTGTAATTTTCAACTCATTCCAGAAGTCAAGGGAACTCCTTAATCAAGTCTTGGGAGAAATTTGCCTTCGTGGATTACTTTTTGATGAAACTAACCAATATTTGCGTTACGTGGAGCGGAAAACCTTCCACAGTTAGTCTAACCCATGAGCCGTCAACCACTGAGGATATTTTTACGTCAGCACTGTGGTCGGTGCGATCCGGGGAGGATTTCTATAGACCAGCATTCACTAGGATCGAACCCTGATCCCTGGGAGCGAAGAGGAACAGAGAGGAAAAAAGCCCCTCTTTGAAATGCGATATTTCTTGTTTCCATAACAGCAGACTGCCTTAGACTGTGCAGCGAGGGGAGATCTTTCTATCGACAATCTATATCGGGTGTGGTTTCTTTAATTTTCAAATCTAAATCTTAAACATTTCAAATCCAACCCTAAAGTTACAGGAGCTTCTAATTCACACATTGGTAGTCATCTTTTCAAGTGAAACTAAACCGCAATTACGCTTGAAAAATAAAAACAATGCAACCATTCCACAGTTAGTTCAACGATTCAGGAACGAGGGTTGTATACGTCAGTTCGAACATAGACCACTATGGCAGCAGAAGTTTAATTGTGCTGGCATCCACCATGCACACAATGCTCGATTGATGAGATATTTTCATACTTCACAGCAGTCAAACATCATAACATTTTAAAACACTGTCTCCTCATTTACAGGGATCCACCATGCACACAATGCTCGATTGCGATGAGATGTTTTCATACTTCACAGCAGTCAAACATCATAACATTTTAAAACACTGTCTCCTCATTTTCAGGGATAGAGCTGATTTTTTTCTTCTTTTTTTTTAAGTGACAGCAAGGCGTAGGTAGCTACTAACACATCATCTGATCAGTCAACGATTATGTGAAAAGCAAAAATTTGCACATTGGATTAGCCAGCCCGATCATCTCATGTTACACTTTATCGAGCATGCCTGGAGTGCTATTGTAAAGGTAATTGAAACTCGCAATCCCCGCAAAAGCCAGTCAATGGTTGAGCGAGGGAGAGTTATGTTTAAATATATGTTTACCCTCGTTTCTATTCTTTTCGATATCTTATAATTTTTACTTGATTTTTGTTTCAACTAAAAATTATCTTGTAATTTTCACTTGGTTTTTTTTTCCACAAAAAATTATCTTGTAATTTTTACTTGATTTTTTTTTTAACTAAAAATTATCTTGATTCAAAAATTTGAAATGTTCTAAAATTTTCTTGAATTAGCTAAAGTAATAATTTAAAAAAAAAATCACGCATTATTAAATTTTGCATCTTCGATCGAAAAAAAAAATCATCAATTTGGAAAAGTTGTTATGGAATCGTTGATGAATAAATCTTACGCTTAAAAAAGAAATAAGTCGCCAAGAAAGGGGTGAGAAAAATGTAAAAAAAATTGGAACACGTATAGCTTAATAAAAGGGAATAGCCTGTTACGCGAGAGAATAGCCGTGATGTATAAAAGCTAATATCCTGTTCCTCTCACCCCTCCTGGGAAATTACTAAAAAGAGAAATATTTTTAACGTCGTCTTCTAACGATATAACTTTATTACCGTACCGTTAGAAAATGCTCCTTGTTAAAGATTGGTAACTTCTAAGCCGCTTATGGAATGAAATAAGTATATATTTTTTTTTCTTCTAGTGATGATTTCTTAATTTAGAATCAATTAAGTGAGAGATTACTGTGAGCAGTGGCCCATGTTCCCACGGAGCGACGCATTCTTTTTCTCGCTTCTCAAATTAATGGAAATCATTTTTAAAAAAAATATATTTTTGCATGATATTTGAACCGTGACAAAATATGCAATTTTAAATTAGTGTTTGTAAATTAAGGATTAGGTTTTTAAAAAAATTTTGTATTGATAGATAAAAATAATTTTTAGCATTTAATGTATGTCTGTTATGAGATTTTTCTTAATAAGCTGAATTGTTTGTATGACTTTTTATTATTTTAATTATGTTTGAGAATTGCTGAGAAGATTGGAAATTACTACTTTAAAAAAAATGACTTGGAGAAGATTATTTATTTGCTCAAATAAATGTTTTGGTTTTTGCTAAATTATTAAAAAATTTTTAAGTACTGTTTTTATATTTGGGTTGTTTTAAACAGAAGAATTAAAAGACATTGATTAGCTAATCCTTCAATAAATTGTAATTTTTTTTAGCTGTTTTTATCTTTTGGATTAGTTTCACTATTATCCATTTTTTCTTTTCCGAACAATTCTCAACCAATTTTTGGAAGTTTTTATTTAAATATGACGTAATTTTTTAGCTTTTTGACACAAAATATTATCCACTAATTCTCCAAAACTCGATAGGTTTATTTTTCTTCTGATTTTTAAAGCACTTATTTTTTATTGCAGATTGTAAAAAATGAATGCTTTGAAAAAAAAATTCTCTGCGTAATGTGTAATAATTAAAATAAAGAAAATATTCATGTTTTTTCCCTAACTCCAGAACTATTAGACCAATTTAAATAAAATTTAGTATGAAGATAAGTTGGAATATTATAAACGAAATAACCATTCAACAATTATGAAACGCCTAAATTTGTAATAACTGGGGCCCTGAATTTGATGACATTAGATATTTTTTTAATTTCTTTTTTATTTCGAACAATTTTTTTCTATTTAAAAATATTTTTTCTGAATTTTCAGTATGTTTTTTCAAATTTTAGAGCATTTATTCGTTTTTATTAATTGTTTTTATTCATTATTATAACTTATTATTCTTTAAATGAGATTTTTTGCTTTTTTAATTGGGGAAAAAGGAAAAAATGAGATTCGTTAAAACGTGAAATTTGGTTAAGAGAGGTTCATTAATTTATTTAAATGTTAATTTATTCAGACGTTTTTTTCCCTAAAAGATTTAATACATATTTTCAACGAGAGTGTTTATGACTTGTTATTGCTGAATTAAAAAGGAAACAACCTATTTCTTTGCTGCTTCGTATTGACTTTTTCTTCTAGGAATCTGTTTCTAAGAAAGTAGTACTTAGAAAATATTTTTAAAATATTTTCTTACAGCAAAACATCTTGAGACCTTTTGTTAAAATCTCTTCTTCGTTCGATATTTTTTTTTATAGAACGTAATTATGTAAATCTCTAGAAAATTTTCCAGGAAAATCAATCTAAATTTATAAAAGTTTAATAAATTAAACATAGCTTTTCCTTTTGGATTTCTGATTCTAAATGTCGAAGCAATTAAAGTAAAATACTTCAAAATTATTTTTAACGTTATCAATTTACATCGTGAGAAATATTATTTTTAAAAGCGCTTTATTTATTGCTTGAAAATATTGATATTGTTTTTGCTTTACAAAACTTTTATAGATACAATCTTAATAAAAATACTAGTGAAGCATTAAAATAAAAATTAAAATTTTATTCTTTCTTCTATTTGCTTGTGACTTTAAAGAATCGAATATTGTCTCATATATCATCTTAAAGTACTTCGAAGAATTATTCTGAATTAAAAAATATGTAAAGCTTTAGTCTTGATTATATATATATATATATATATTACACGCACGAGCTTGTGTGAATTTATTTAAAAATGCATGTATTCTTTTGAAATTTCTTTGGTTGTTCCCTTTAACTCTTTGAACTCAATTAAAAAAAAAATTTTTTTTTCTCCTTTTTCTTTTATTTTTAAAACGAAAATGGCAGACTTTAACTCAAACTGAAATGAAGGAATAAATATTAATAATGTGGTCCTATGTTAGGCTGTGTCCAACATGTGACCACCAAAACAAATTTATAATGTTTAATTAAGTAAGTCCACATAGGATCACATAAGGCTTAAAGTTCTACGAAAAGTTTCTGTGAAACATTAAAATTAGAAAAAATAAAAATGCAATCTTTAAAAATTGGATTTGCTAATATTTCATGCAACTGAAAATAATTTGCTTCAAAATTAGTAAATTTTATTTTAAAATAAAGGATTCCTGCTGACTTTTAAACTCTTCACTTTTTTTATTCATCAATTTAATTGGATATCTTACCTTTCCATTTTTCATAATTAAAGAACTAAAATAGTTTCTTATAAAAAAAAATCTTAAGTTGAAGTATAGTAAAATACCTATGATATATGAAGGGCTAATTATGAGCTATATTTTTAAATTATGGATAAGATTTTGTCTTTACTGTGTTGTTATCAAGAGGAAATTCCGGAAACGTGTCTGGAAACAGTACAAAAAAACAATTTTATGAAATAATGCAATCTTTTCAAAAAGTATGTATTATTACTATATTGCTCTAAATCTATCATAGTTATTTCAAATTTAAGGCTTTTTTTTCCTTTAAGAAATATTGTTCTAAAGTTTAATAAAATAAAAAAATTAAATGAAAAATCTCCTCATGGGGGGGGGACCTTCAAAGCGTCAAATACTTACAAAAAATTTTTTATTGTTTGAAAAAGTTTTTGTTTAAATTTTTGGTTAATTTTTTTTTTAAAAATGAATGCAATAAAAATATTGCACTATATTTAAAAGTAATTCAAGCCTCACATGAAAAGGTTTAAATGAACAAAATAATAAAATTAGTCTAGCTTTGACTTGCATCACTTTTACTTTCAGCACTTCTAACGTCAAATTGAATTAGCTAAGTTTGCCCACGTAAGAGCGGCGTTGTGAATAAAATTTGATGAATTCTTACTGAAAGATAAAAATATACACGAATACTTAAAGAATTCAAAAGTTTAAAAAAAAATTACATAAATCACTTGAGCAAACATGAAAAAGAGCACTTCCTTTCGAAATCAAAAAGCGTTTAACTAAAGAAAAACAGAGTTTTTAAAAATCTTATTTCAATTACTTTTACTAACGAATAATACGGCTTTGAAATTCAGGCCCTAATAGAAGTCTTGTTATGTTGTGAAAGACTTTAGATTTGAAAGCGTTTTCCATTATAACAACGTAAAAATCTTGAGCTGCATGATTTACAAGTCACATTTTAAAGTAAACTACCTTTCCGTAAATAGACTTTGGAATGAAGAGATTTTTTGATGTTTTTTATTTTTTATTCCCTTTGAACATTCTGTCTCCAAGACTGACGTTGCCTTAAATATTTACTGGCTCTTTATTTTGCTCTGAAAGAGATTTTCTCTTTTCATTTAGCCATATTAGAGTAGCCAGTCTAAAAGTAGGGTTAAAATTTGAATGAGGTACGGTAAAAAAAAAATCGCACAGCTAAATTCTAAGGGATATGCTTAGATTACTTAGTAGTTGTTTATAGATTTTCATTACTTTTTTTTAAATTTGAAAGTAACACAGAGTAGGGATATAGGGGAGAGTCTGGTAGCCCCGCCCACTTAAGGAGTATTGCTTATATTCCTGTATAATATTGAGTAATAATCAATATTTTTTTATCTTTCCATTATTTTACCATCTAATTAAATAATGCAAAAAGAAAAAACCAGAAAAAGAATAGTTTAACTTAAAAAAATAGAAATTTAAAAAATTCTTTTCAGCTCTTTTCAAAATGTGTCGGGTAGCCCCGCCCAGTTACAGAAATCATGTTTTTTGACTGTTTTGTCAGATGTAAATGAAAGTGACCAATGTATTGACAATAGATAAACCTATTTTATCATTTTTATCACGAAATTATTTTATTTATTACATATTTATATACTTTTAGTGAATTCTATCATTTAATAACAACAATATTTGTTGTTAAAAATGCATAAAACATTCAAATTTGAAGCAATAAAATAATAATCTTGGCAACCGTACATTTATCGATGAAATAAAATTGGGCGGTGATACCCGACATTCATGTGAGCGGGGCTACCCGAAATCCTTTTTTATTGTAAATTTGTAAATTAATTTATTGTAAATTTGCAATTTTTCACATATAAACTTCTTTCTTCGTGCAAATAAAACTTAAGACTACATGCTTTAATGCTGTATGTATAGAAAAAATTATTTTTTTTGTATTAAAATGAAGTTTAATCGAAACA